GGGTATCCTCCTGTATAAGTAGCTTTAACTTATAAAAAACGAGATAGGTATTTGGAATTCCATCATATTATTATTATTGAAAGTATCTCTATTGTGTGCGGTTTAGTGTGTGTGTTTTTTTTTTCATGTCCGCATAAGAAATACGCTAATTGCATAGCCGGCGACTGTTTTCATTATTACCGTTGTTATTATTGTCGATGGTTCATTCAAATCATCGTTGCTGTGAAGCGGCTGCAGCGGTATTTCTGCCGAGCCGGCACCCGTTTGACGGACAACCCGACAACGACGACGTTTGTGTGTTTTCCTATTCCAATTCGGTTTGTGTGTATGTATACGGGCGTGCGCCGGTGACGTTGACGAACACGGCGGCAATTGTAATTGTCCTGTCCCCCGGCCGCCCCGTTACTATTTACCACATTTTATTCGCCTGGTGGACAATAACGCGATGAGCTCGGCAGATAAGCACCGTGCGCGTTTAACGACTGCGGCCAATCGGCCATCGCATTCATTCACTTATCAGCTGTCCGACGTGCTGATGGACGTACCGGTTTTTCGTCAGACACGTCCGTTGAACAAATGAAAACTGCCGCCGACGTTGCGAAAGTCTCATTTTTTATTATTCAAAATATTTTCATTAACCAGTGCATACATTATCCGAGTACAATATCAATTGTAATGGATTTAACAACACATTCTGTGGTCAAAGTATTTTTTAATAATTTCCTTTAGTCAGATGCGCATTAGAGTGCGCGTCTGTTATTTGGCTTGAACCTTATGTCCCAGGCAATTAGTTTATTAAAGAACTATGCTTTTAATAAGAAGGAAGAGTTACTTTTACTTTAAAAATGTGTTTTTATTTTATATATTATTAGTTCTATATTTTGTGATCTACTCAAATTAATTTGTTCTATATTTATGTATATTCTCTCTACTGGCTGCTTTTTAGGCGATATTTAATAAATAATAATAAATTAAAATGTATTATTTTTAATTGTAGTGCGTAACAACCAAATCGACTAGCATCTTGGACTACTCAATAAAATAATTTTTGATGGCGTTTACTATAATGTGTTGAAAATGTACAAAAAAATAAATGAATGTCTGTTCCGAATACATTTGTAATATCGAATTAGATAGTTTGTTTTTTAAACGCATAATAATATGCCTGGACGTTGATGCGCTATCAGTCATCGCTCATCACTCACTTGTCAAACGACTGATAGTTACTTGTTAAAGAATTAAAATGTGCGTGTTAATCTCCTAGACGAATTAAATACAAGTGTCAGCGAACTACAGCTAATTGGTTTACCAAAACGTTTGCACAATGCGATTTTCAGATTGTGTCAGGTATTTGTTATTATTTTAGCGATTACTAATACATTTCTTTTGCCTACACAATCAAAGTTTTCCGACATGACAAATAGCGTCCAAAATCGTTTTGCAGTCTACCACGCAGTTATTATTTTTTTTAACGGTCTCCTATTCGCGTTTTCACAGGTCATAATGATGTTTTCACCGCGAGCGTAACCATCGGCAGTTGTAGGTGAACGAAGGAAATAAAAAAATTGTGCGCGGCGACCACAGTGGAACAGGAAACGCGTTGAGCTGTTTTCTGAATTAAACGCGGACGGATGACGACATTAAGTCGCCGTTGTTATTTCTTTTCTATTCTCATTTAATCAATTTACTGCCCTCGTGAGAGAATTTATAGAAGAATTGATTGAATTTTAGAATCATAAAATGTGATGCTCGAATAGCGTGTCAGCCTCCTCAGGACCCTCAGCCGTCGCGCGCACGGTATGCGTTGGCTCGTCCATTCACCCGTCAGTGTAACCGATGGGTTGCGTTAAAACACAACAGCCCGGCGTTCCACCGGGTGAGAACATATTGCCCGGAGCGAATGCTTTGTAATCGGGTTTTCCCCGCGCATCAGTATAATAATTCTGCTGTCGGAAAATCAGAGCCGGACAGCGCGTCTTAAATACAACAGCTTTGGAAAACTAAACGAGGCGCCGGTTGTGGACGGATGAGGTGGTCCGAAACGCTCAGGCGTCGTCATACGCAGAAAGCGGAGCGCATAGTTGGGCGGCGAGGTCGGTAGATCACATTTAACGCGTGTGCCAATACCAAGTAAATGGACTTCGGGTTAAATCCAGTTTTGGTATTAACCTGCGCGTGCACGCAGTAAGCGAGTGTACTATTCAATTATTGAAACGTGTGCCTAATGGTTTTCGTTTTTCAACACTTAAGTGCAAAACAATCGTCGACACATGATTTGGTATTTCGGGGAACCATTAACTCGGCGAATTGATTAATTACTCGGCCGGTCCAACAGATTTTTCGGCTGCGCATTAATTCTCTTATTGTGCGTATCGCACACTGCGCTGTGTTTTTGAACGCAACAATGTTGACAAACTCGGTCGTGCCTTACTGCGATAATGTGTACGCGTCAACCGCCACTAAGTACGCGCCATATAATTAATCATATTCGACAACTAATGGACACTATGGAAGGTGTGTACAAGAATCCATCCAACGAGTCGTGTCCACGTGCTTACACCGATAAATGTCTGGGGAAATCGAATCGACGTCATTGTGCGCGTCGGTCGCATTAAAATGATTTCCACGAGCGCCATAAATTGAACCGATTCAAACATCCTCGTGTATGTATCCCTTCGTAAACTATCCGAGTTGTGTTTCGTAACGAGACATTTATTACCGTTTCCATCGTTAACCGCCCACGACAGACACAATATCGCGCGTAGAGACAATGGATTTTCGCAACCTCCGCCGTTCACACGCAGTCGATTTTTCGTCTCTCGCAGCCCCGTCGGCGAACTGTCGACTTTGCTCTAATTTAATGGCCGGCACTCGTAGTTCTGCAGAGTAGCGGTGCAAACGCATAACGTTCAAGTGGACGCTGGTGCAACGGTCGACTGTAGTAACATTATCAACAATATTGCGCGACGCCTTCACCGACCGGTGCTCGTAATAATCTGCGGCGCATTGGAATTGGCCCAGTTTTAACGGGAACCAGGTACCAGTGGACAGCCGATAAATCAGACGGGATTTATCCGTGAGACTTCTTTATGAAGTGCATTTGCGCAGTTCGCCGCGGCAGCGTTTACTCGGGTGCGTCGTTGCGCTACTGCCGCATCACCCGCCGCGTGATATATCGGCTTGTAAATACAACCTGAATGACCGTATAGGGTTTAAAAAAAAAATACCATACACTCATTTCTATATATCATAACACGGTGTTATCTACTCTGCGGACAAAACGACCGACGCTTCCTCCTGTCTGTCGAGTGCACACCCATATGGCTCATCGGGCGGCGAGAACCGTTCTATTGAGAGCGGTCCATTCTTGAGCTACTCCGCATAAAGGTTAGGTACAGCGAGCGTTTTATTTTCCCGGCCATTATCAGCTGCTGCTGACCTCCATTGTTATCTTACGAGAAGAACACTATGTTTGCGCAAGTCGACTCGCGCCGTACGGACGATTGTGTGCACTAAGATCGAGTTGTTTATGGACAAATCTGACCCGAGAGTCCAACAGCCAGATAAATAATTAACTGCACTGCGCAGCGTCGGAGATAAGTTAATAATTTAGTCTTTTCGAGACAAATGTCGTATTGTTTGACCATGTACACTTCAGGGCTTTAATTAGTTGCCCTTCTCGTTCATGACCCCTTGTGCAAACCGTTGCCGTAGATATACGTGTATACATTTCACGGTGCAGTCCCAACAAGAATACGTTGCATTGTTAAAAAACGCATGCGGTTGACGTTTAATGACTGTTGGCGCGCCTATTCAATACCGAGTTGTAAAATGATGTGCAACGCTATACAACACACAACAATTAGCATGGAAAGGTATCACTTTTTCAACGGGATTTTCACTCGGAACGTGTTTTAAGCGAAATCTCAGAGCCAAGTGAATTTCGTGTTGATGTCATTTACCGAATCGGTAACAATGTCGATGGATTTATAAAATAAATTAGTTGATGTGCAAGACACACGAAGGATCGTTGCTTTTTTACTGTACACTTTGATAAAACGTAATGATCGCTATAACGCGAGACACTTAATAACAACGTTGCCGGTTACAAACCAATTAATTGGCGTTCAATTATTTTGACCAGTCTGTTCACTACTTTGGATACGAGGTGATAGTTTATTTGAAAACCGATGACGTGTAAATATCGGTACAAAACTAAAACGTAAGAGCGATTTTTTTTTAACTACTCTAAAATTGTTTGAGAAAATGTCGTTTGAGTCGAGTTAAAATTTTTTAACTAAACAATAAATGCGTTTACTCTTCCACTATGTCGGTCTATTAGTGATAAATATTTAATCGGAACGTTAATAGAACTCGAGACAGTTCTTAAAATCGTTTTGCACGTCACGGACAGGTGCAAACGGAGTGAAGAATAAGAGAATTGTTTACGGAGACTCAATTTTTAACGGTTCCCGTGAGGCTTTCAATTTTCATTTTGTGACTAAGATTTACACGACCAGATTTTGTTTTCGTTGGCGGTCAGCGATCCCGTTCACGACCAGAGCACGCGATCCTCCAACGATGGCTTCCGCATTTTCGGACCCGATCACGACCGGGGCGCGTGTGGGCGCGCGTACTTACTCGCAGCACACACTGTTTATCGTACGAGGGGTCACGAGAAAGTGTCCGCCGCCGCTTCAGTATGTTTGTGGGACACACGCCCACACAACACGAACCGAGCAAAGTGTAGTAAGATTACCGTACGCACACACTCGTGTATTCGATAAAATGGCAGAACGGGACTGTTGCGAGGAAGAGAAAAATGTCGCACTAGTCGATGCCAATATTGCCTTGTGCGCTCATTATATCCTTATTAATTTTTTATAATTATGTTTCAAAACTATTGCAATGTAGCACGCGACTATTGTGTTGTCATATGGGAATTGCGATATTTACACAATTCACGGTGTATTGGCAGTGTAACTATGAACTTTTCTTACCTTGGAAAACCCGTACCCTGGTGTTGGTAAACAATGGTGGTGTAAACACTCGTGACGCTTGAAAGCTGCAAAAAGAACAAAAAAAAAAAAAAATGCTATTAGTGACGCGGTTAATTAAAATGTTTTTCAGTACATTAAATAATTATTATAACGAGCAAAGCGTTCAACGATTTTTTGTTTAATAAATAATAGCACAGAGTTTAGTAGAATTGTTTGACTCGTGTCGATAATAATACTGGAACGCTAAAGGACAAGATTTGGCTCGAGGTCAAGTCGTAAACAAGGTCTAAAAAAGGAGATAATTGATCTAATGTTCAGGCGGTCGGTCGTATTTAACAAACGGTTTGAAAATTGTTTTGCTCGAGAGTCGTTGGTCAGTTGTAAAAGAGATGTCAATATTTCTAGTCTTTTGTATTCTGTAGCGTTTTGTGAGCTAAAACGTGTTAGACGAACAATAAATTATGTAACTATCACAATCGTACTATCTTTGGTATTCTCGAACCGTGTTGGTTTTATTACTAGCCATTAATTTGAAAATAACCATTTCTAATTAGTAGTATCACCACGGGAATCTGGCAACTAGGCGAATCGCCATAGTCCTTTTCGGGGGAGAAAAAACGTAGAAGAATTTTTTCACTGTAAAGTGTGAACAAATCGATTGTCAATATTAGTCCAGTTGAAGTTTAGTATTAACGAGATAGGCACGATAAATAAAAAATCATCTTGATAAAATGAATACGTTTCTGAACTAGGCTAAACTTTGCCCGCTAATTAATAATTAAAGCTAAAGATTTGATGGTTAATTAGTGGGCATGCAGCCAGGGTTGCGTTTGAGATGAGCGAGGTGTAAAAATAAATTTTAAGTGTACGGTATTAATTATTTATTAGTATCGTAAACTTAAAATGCATTTGTTCGCAATTTTCTACGCTCGAGGTTCACTTTTTCTTTATACGCATCATTTGGGATTTTTATGACGTTTGACGTGTTGAAAAGTAATTACGATTTTTTTTATCTTGCGTAACGGTTGTAAAATAAATTATACGCGCGTCGAGTAAGGAAAATTCTCTGTTGTTTACTTTATACAAAGACCGAAGTGCACTTGAACCGTTTTTATGTACGTTCAATATTTATTGGTACATCATTGCGTAACGAAAAATAAGCGATACAAAAAGTCCGAAACGATAACCCGAGACATTTGTGTTTTGTTGACAATCCGTTTTTTTTCCCAGAGCACTCATTGCTATTTCAACTGTCCGACACGTTTTGAAACGGTTCGATGTCGTTTAAATATTTATTCTAAAATAATCCTGCAACGTTCGAATGTTATATGCGCGTTGAATGTAAACCATTAGGTATTTTCCTATTAAATGTTCGTCGCTCGCACAATCAAACCATTTATAGCGTCTAATTATTTTTCAAACGTATAATTTTTTATTATTTTCCGGAATTCGTTGGATGAGTTCACACCGATTATTCCTCGCCGTTTCTTCGTTCTCGTCGATTTCCTATAATAGTCGCGGCCAGCGCGTCATGATCATATTCCGTAATGATACAGTTGGGTACAATCGAGTATTGGACAGACAGTGTTCAACCGCCCGAGGTCAGAATGTTCTCCCTCGCGGTGTCCGGCAATCGTTCGTCGAGCGCGCGCGCACAGACAACAGTAATATTAATAATCGTTATTAAACGGTTACGCTGATCGAGCCTGGGGATCGACGATTTCGTCAGGATCGAAACCGACCGCGCGTTCGCCGGCCACCTCGTTAGACGGCACAGGACGACGACGGAGATCGCGGTAGCCGTGCCGCGGTCTCGTATCGGGCCTAACGCGCGGCTTGTTGCCTTTTCACGTGTCTGCTGACCGATACGACTTCGAGATACGGACGGCTGAAATCAAAGTGTACATCACTTAACATGTGTCAACTATGCCGGTGCGGAAAATACACCGGAGCGTCACTGCATCTCCAGGGTCTGTACGCTGCACGGGTATTACACGACAGCGGATAATATTCATACTGCCACCTGCAGATGTCGTCGTGTACGATCACGCGAATCTCGAGACGAGCATCGGACAGAAACTATCAATGTAAAAACTCGCGTTCAACTAATTGGCGGCCTGTCCGGTTTATACAGTCTACGCTGCAACACCATACGGTGACGCGGCGAGTGGTAAAAATAGGCCTGCTGGAAGTTGGAAAAGGCTCGGCATCAATCACTTTCGTGTCGCGGGACACTTGTCGTTTCATTAAAACTCGACGAATGTGACGTAGTGATTAGGAAAGCGATGCAATTAGAAAGGTCGGGGAAACGTTTTTTTGTGCGCCATATGCCGATAATACAGTGGAATATACGCTGGGCGCGAGTTTAGTGTGCAGATATCATCTCAAAGACATCGGGACGACGGTCATGTACAGTAAATTTATCGGTTGTAGAATTACACGGGGCGGCCTTCGGACGGCACTGTAAGGCATTGTGGCTCATTTCGCCTATAAGGCTTTATTTTCAATATTTTACTACCGATATTATCTTAATTGTGCGCTTACAGTGGGTATTGTATGGGGCCGTTTCAAGGTAGAATTATTTTATTAGCCCCGGAGTGGACTTGAAACGAGCGTACACCGCTGTTAAGTGGCATATTTGTTTTGATAAATAATAGTTTCAATGGCGTTCCTAATTTTTACGACGTCGCTGTTAACGGATTATTAATAATTAGTCGTTATTCAAAAACGATCTATCGGATCTAACGTGCTGATAGGTCAAGTCACTTTCGATTTTTGCAGAATAACCGTGAGACAATGTGTACGTATAATCAATCTTTAGGAGGTTTCAATTTTAACGAAATACAAATTACATCATCAATAAAAATCATCGATTATTTTTTACTATTGAAAATACACAAATAGATAAACAATGATACGTCACAATTCTGTTGTCAGCAATCAATTGTCCGTCTCTATAGAATCTTGAAAATTTTATTGGTTCCGATACCCTAAGATTTGAACTGTGCGACGGATTAGATTTAATAATTGGCATAATCATTGCGACTAAATATTACGTAGGACGTCCTAGTGGCACGAACGAAACACAAAAAATGTTTAAAAGTCCAATAACCGCGTACGGTTATTAAATTTAATGTTAGAACTATTGTTTTTTTTTTCTTTTTACTACAGAATAGTACAATATCAACAATTATAATTATAATGCCCGTACAGTCTGTTTCTACGCAGTGTATTGTATTTTAAAGTAAATGTGATATCATCCGCTTAGTGTTTTGATTTAAAATACGCGTTGTAATGAATTCAAGTCGGTTGCGCATATTAAATACAATCGCAGGTTACATTATAATCCCGTCGAGTGAAATATATATATATATATGTGAATTATCGTCTCACCAATACGACTTAGCCTTGATCTAGTTTCGCTTGTAATCGACTTAATCTTTGCAAGACCAAAACTCTTTGGACTAACTCTTGAATGGCTCTGTCCGGTCTCGGATATTCGCGTACCACCGCACCGGAACAATGTCTCGGTCGGAGTTTGCTCTCTCTAGGAAGTTTTTGGGTTTCCGTTGCTTTACATACATCATGTCGGGGGCGTCCGAAACGTTCTCGTGCACAAAAATGATACGGGGAGCTATTAAGTTTCGCCGAAACGAAATCTGTAAGTCACGCGCGGCTGCCACCAACGATTCATAATCACGGTAATCGTCATGTGCAGTGATCATCTGTCATTAATAACGTTGTATTATAATTATGTTTCCTAGTACAGTCCGGCCGCAAGTTTAGAGCACACCGTGTAATTATAAACATAATGAGCTTAATTATTTTACCAGCCGAACGCGCAGTATGTAGTGCGGCGGTTATATTGTACGATTGTGTAATGTTTTTTCACAAGAATGTAATAATAAATTGTTGACATGAGTTGTGTGCAAGGTGGTATGTCACGAGCGAGTCTCGTCTAACACAATGTTTAAACGTCTACTAACACTTATTGGCAACTGCTTTTTACTGGACCGACGGGAACGCATAAATCACACACGGTCGGTGATTGACTGCCAAACGCGAAAATACCTCGCCAGAAAATTGGAAACGCTGTTGTCGAGAAAGGCGGCCAACGTTAATCAAATGGGTTATACCAGCGAAATGTCTTGATCGGTTAGCATTAAAGGACCGCAAACTAGACCGAGTTTAATAGGAATTAACAATCCTTCTCTTTCTTCTTCTCGACTCCCCCGCCGCGGTAATGATCGTTCTCAATAGTTCACACGTTCGCCGTAACATCCTTACCCGCCCAACGGGAAGTCGAACATTATTCCGCAGCGGTGTTGCAATACATCACTTGAGTGTATTGTGTTCGCCAATAAATCGCACCGGACAGAATTGTCGGAGATCTACTAGTTGCATGGCGAACTAGGACGTAATTCGTAGATTTATAGTTTTTGCGTTGTATCAAAAACACGTTGTGTTGCACGAAAACGTTGCTAAATAAATATTCAAAATATATAGCGGTGTATGTATTTTTGATTAGTATTTTGCAAAATAACTCTTAATGTTATATAGTTTTTAAATTATCATATTGGGGAAAACCAGAGAGATTCTGGATAATTGGTTTGTCGCACGCCGTGTTCATGTTGGAAATACCAGAAATCATGATGATTTCAATTTATTTGGGTATAATTTTTAATTTCAGATACGGAAACTAACTAAACAATACATTTTTTACTAAACCGAATAATTGTTTAGTCGGTATTTTTATATAAAATAATGATTGCAATTCGGCGAGGAAAGAAAATGGCGACTGAATAAATCGACGGTTGCGTAGAAAGTTTTCTACAAATGTCTGAGAGACTATGCATTTATCACTTTCTCTCGCATTTGATAAACAATAAGGCCATTTAAGCGTATTATTATCAACCACCAGCATCCCATTTGCAGCTACGCGTTTTCGTGTTAATATCACACACTGTACAATCCAAATGTACTCGTTCGGTTAGAATATGATAAATTTGGTGTAGTGCACTTAGCAAGTGGGTAACTTTGTTTTGCAGTCATGAAATATCTGTCA